CATATTACAAATGTAGGTTGACTTTTTTTTTTACTTTGTCCCATTAATAAATTTTCATGATTTAATGAGAAAAAAATAATAACTCATATTAATATCAAATTTTAGAAAATTATATCAGTTACATTAGAAGAAACTTAAAAAAATCTCAATTTAAAAGATTAATTAACCTTCATAGAAATCAGACACAGGTCTTTCACTGTTTAGGCCAATCACTATTCTATTTAATTTGCATGAACAAGGTTAAAACAAATTTTCTGACTTTTAACTATATTTACCATTTTTACAAAAACGCCTTGCTACAACACTACCATGGGGTGGTTTCAATTGTATCTGATCTGTTACTTTTCAAATTAATTAAGTAAAATACACACGTTTGAAATAACAGATTTTTCTGTACTTTAGATTAACTATTTTAGGTAGTTATCAATTTAGGGAGTAATTCTCTCCCCCCCCCCCTATATAAAATAAAACTTGCATTAATCTATTCGTTGATGTTTATGAGAAAATTTACAACAGATCTAAAGTCAGCTTAATAATCAGCAGGGTCCAGTACTTAAAACATGTTTTAATGAAACACTTCTTTATAAAGAACATTACTGTTTTCTAAGTTTATGCTGAAATTGATTTTATAAGAATTTAATTAAAAAAAAAGAAGTTTTTCTGTGGCAAATTCCATGAAGCTAAAATTAATATGTTCCTTCATTCATGTGTATGTTAGTTGTGAATACTTTGTTAACCATAAACTTGGTCTGTTCCATTCTGAATTAGAATATACTACTTAGTAAGTGATTATCAACACTTGTTGAGAGCATTTAAATTATCTAATTAGCCATTAATGTTATAGTTAAGTTACAAAAAACACACTCTTTTATTTACTCAAAACTAAATTATCCGTAACATAAAAGCTATATTACGGAAGATAATTACACACATTGGAATGTCTTCTATGAAATCACAGGTTCAATTTTATAAAGCACAGAAAATGCCAGAAGTGCTTTTGTTGAGCTTTGTAACAAACAGTAATATGTACATTTACTCCAAGGTACTATAATATTTTGATTTTTGAAAGAATAATCCCTGTAGTTCCTGCATGCTTTTATTCAACAGCTAATTCCTCTGAAAGCGGATTATAGTATACTCTGGCCAACTTCTATAGATTTCTGTTCAATACATAGACCTGCCAATAATTTATACTACTCTTCTTATAGCTCCTGTTGATTACTATTAAGTGGTCATTTCTGTCAAGAACAACTTGCTGTGCACACTTTTAAGTTCTTGTTGAATAGTTAGTCCTGTCAAGAACAGCTTCTAGTAGGCTCTTTAATGGCCAGTATATTGACCTGAAGAAAGCCTTGGTATAGAAGCCAAAATGTCATCCCATTCTAGAAACAGGCTGGAATAGTTCATTAAAGTCAAAACTCCAACACCTGCTTATGATAATAAAGTTCTTACAAACATAATTCAACATTTAATATATTGGGCACATCATATGACTTCTCATTAACAAGGTACATTTTCTTTTAATATATTTTATGATGCCTTTATGTTTGACATAAATTTAAATAAATTTCAACTGTTTTGTATTTCTTTAACTTAACTAGTTTTTTTTCTTGACTAGCATACTTTTATAAGAATTATATGGGTCATAATAATCAGCCTAGTTGATGGTAAGAACAATAAGAAAAAAACAACAACAAAGTTTTTATCATTTTTTAAACTTCCTTTTTCCTTGTGTTACAAGACGTAAGAGGCTGTAGTTTTCCCAAGTTAAACTCATGTTTAATTTTTTCCTGCTTTATCACAATTCCCTGCTTTATATGCAATATCAATATTTAGCAATTATAACAATCATATCAACTATTTTCACATTTTTGTTTGAATGTCATTAAATCAAATGAGACAAGGATATGACAGAATTTCAAATACTCATACCCAAATTCTAAAAAATAAACTACATTGGATAATTCTGTTCATTGAATTTTTTTGTTGCATAATACATAAATCATCTTCTGCTGAAGATAAATACTTAGTTACTGTATATGCCAATTACTTTGTACACGGTTAACATTCTTCATAAACAACACAAACTAAAGTGTAGGGAATGAGTCTGTAGGTCTCTAAACATATGTCTTCATAAAACAAACAATATCAAACATTGTTCCTTGTGACTGATTCTAAATCTTTTAAAACAAATAATACAGTCATACATATCTTTCAACACACAACGAATGTATTAACTTAAAATGATTAATAAGTTTTGTGAATCACTAAACTTTTTAAAGATAAATAAGGCTAAAGCTAAACACAGAATTAATAACTTCTAACTTTTTGCTGGTGAAAGTGTTCAAAGGAACAAAAATTGTAAGATGCTCCATTTTTGTGTATAGCGGAAGTTGGCAAATAACAGAATATTGTACATATTGTTGGTTGTATAGTTTTTGTTACAATACAACAACCGAAAAATGAGAAAGTGAAATCTCTAGTTACAATTTTATACTGGGACTCTTTAAAAAGTTTTTCAAGAACTTGTATATTATTGTCTCATGGAGACTAATAAATGAAAATAGTGAACATGATGGTGGATTCTTCTGACAGAAGATAATCTGTTCACAGAGTGCGGATTTTACAAATATCACACCTAATTTGAGACAGATAATTGGCAAAACATTAAAGTATTATAAATATCTACAAATCTGTTATTTTTCACACTAGTGTGATCATTACCCATTGTATAGTTCTCTAAAATGTTAGTGACATCTATAAGAAGTTTTAACACAATCACTTCACATCCTGTTAGTACTGGCTTGTGTTGTTCCCAATTTATTTTTCTTCTTTATAAGTACTTATAATGTTCACTAAAGGCGATTTCATTCCAGGCTTTGCATCAACAGGTGGAGTTCTCTGAAAGAGTGTCCCAGTTTACCTTGCATAGTTTGTCGTTTCAATAAGAATGATCGGATGGACAGAAGATGATTGTAGCAACTGACACATTTGTTGTATCTGAAAGGATAAAAAAATAAAATTATATGTGTGTGTGTATATATATATATATATATATAAATAGTTTAAAAATCTTACCATAATTCTGATTTGAAGTAATCGAAATAAAACTGACAAAATTACACTTTTAACTTAATCAAGCTTGCACTGAAACACTCGTTGTTTTAGCAATTTGATTATGTAAATAGCACCTTCACTACTACTGTGTAAATTGCATTCCAGCCTGAAGAGCCCTGGTATTGGGTAAAGGTATTGTGAGCACTTCATATAGCATGGTTAATACATTATTATACACTCTTTTATACTTTCAAACAGAAGTTATTAATAAATACTAAAACTGTACATAAACAAATTAAGGTGAAATGAGCAGTAACTGCCTAATTCAGAGCGACATTTGAGAAGAAAGTATTGTAGAACTAATTAATCTACAGAAGTAGCTCAGGTGGAAAGATTAGTGTAGATAAGTCCTCCAAGATATTCTCTTCTCCTCAAGTGTCACTCTGAATTAGGCAGTCACTGCCCATTTCAACTTTGTTTGTTTATCATGAAGACTCTCCCTAAATTATCTATTACAGAATATATCTGTACACATAAAGACCTTTAAAAGTTAACATTTTCGAACACCAAGCATAGATATATCAAATTAAAGAAGTATCATAACTTTACAGTTTTTACAAACCAAAATATTGTATCTGAAATTTTTATATACCTAAACTGCTTAAAATTATATACATTTTAATGCTGTTAATCAACCAAAAATGTTTTCATATATTTTGTCACTACCACTATAATAAAATTAAAATACTGTACTTGGTTAGTTTAACTATATTTTTGTATCTGAAACCTATAGAAATTAATGCATATTTGAAGTGTTAAAATGGGACTTTTATGTACATTGAATCAACCATAAGACAATTCCTCATAAAAGTTGTCACATATTGCTCTCACAAAAAGAGTACGTATATTGTATTTATAAGTATCTGGAATGTAAAATTTGTAGGTGGAAACACATTATTTGAAAATTAAATAGTGAATGAAATATATAGAATGTATACTTTTTATCACAATTTTAATTAACAATCAGTATGATTCACAGTACATAAATTAAAAAACAACAATTAAAGACTTACATTTTTTTGTGGATTAAAAGTGGGTGATAAATCACACATTGCGTATTTAGTTGGAAGGTCAAATTTAAGCGGTACATAAACATACAGATCAGAGTTATCAATATTTTATAAAATTCATTACTGTGGCTTAGGAAAATCTACATAAAGGTACTTGTATACTATTATACTACAGTTGCAACACAAAGTTTTATAGACTAATACAAAGCCAAGGTATGAGCAGGCACTAAGTGTTTTTTTTAAACTACAGAATGCTACAAGGTGATACCTTTCTTCACGAGTAATGTCGACTCCTATACCAGGTGGTGCTGTAATATTGGTTTTTATCACAGTTGCAAAATTTTTCAGGATCAGCTTTAAACTGTTGCATCCCACTGACATATACCTGATAAAACAAAAATTTTCATTGGACAACTACTTACATATAATATTTTTTTACACTTTTTGAAACAAAACAGACAACACCATACACATTTGTCTTTTTCAGTTCATGAACTTGAAACTGAAGGCTGTAAATACTTGTACAGTTTAATAATTATTTACTTATAAAGTTACAATAACTTATATACATCACTAAATATCAGTATAAATGAGATACTTGAAAAATGTTAATGAAACAATGGAGAGTTGGTGAGTTGATTGTGTGAGATATTCAGTTTCAAAACTTTAGAAAAGCTGTATTAATAAACTTCTGGGTCATTAATGGACAAATTGTTAGTGTCATAAAAAATTTGATATTTTTTTCTTTTATATAAGACTTTAGTAGTGTTATAGTTTATAAGAAAGCTTAACTAAAATGTAATGTATATTACAAAATGAAATAAACATTACTTAATGAATAACATACTCACGATTCAAATTTACTCTGTAACAACTCAAAAATAGTAGGCAGCAGTAGCTGACAAATATCCAGACTCCAGAGTTGCCTAAAATAAAACCAAGTTCATGCAATATTTCTAGTAATAAATTTTTCCAAAGAACAGTTTTTGTCTTAAAGATTGAAAACTAGTGGGTTTTGTGTATATATAAAAAAAGTATTATCTTGCAAAATTATCAATGTAATCAGGGAAGTTTGAAAATCAAAAAACCAAGTGCACTGGGCCAAACAAAAGCACACTGTTGTAAAAACTACGATAAATGAATTTTAACTGAAAGACAACAAACTTTTATATTTAACTAACAAAACTAGTATGGTAAATCAAAATAATAAATTTTTAGCATTTAAGTTCTGACTGTAGTGAAGATTTTTATTGTAAGGTAAAAAAATATATACATTTAAAATATTTAATTCTTAAACTTTAATTTATAATGATGTAATATTCAATAACTTCTATAATTTAACTATCTCTTGCATCCTCACATTCAGTCCATCCACAGATCCTAATGTGATACAAGTCTGTACATGTAATTATAACTTAATTACAAATTAATGAAAACAAAATACAAGTTTAAACATTCAAACCCTAATGATGTTCAATATGGCAATAATCACAACCTTGATGTAGGACCACCACATAGGTCATTTAATTTACAGCTAAATACTAGCTTCTTTAATATAAACAGATTCAGAACCTCCAATAAAAACTTTTTTTTTTAAACCTCTGACGCGATATTTTGAGGTCTAAAATGAAACAAAATACATGTAATGACAATAATCAAATAATTCATATTAATCTAAGTACTGGTGTCCTTTTTAACATGACAGCCAGAGCCTTCTTTATGTACTAGAAATTTGGGTACTTAATGTAGTAAAAAACAAAAATAAACTTTTTTTTTTGGCATTATATTAAAAAAAATCCATAAAAAAATTAAGAACTACATATAATAACACAAAACATCCACTACAAACTAAGTAATTACTCAAGTGATGAAATGATGTTCAAAAAGCTCACTAAATGATGCGATCAAGAATGACAACTACAAGTAAGTACTTAGGGGTCTTAGAGGTAAAGATATCCAGAACATACACTTTTAAAAAGTACTTATGTTACAGTAGTGACATACAATAGCAATCTACTGAACCCTTCATGTGATAATGCTCAGAATGTCTACTAAAACTTGAAAATTTATGCTTTTGAAACATTAATAAAATCCCTTAATAATTACGTACTTACGCCCTTAAACAGATGATGTTCAGCATGTCCACTATAAGAGCCATATCATTCATGTTGATTGCAGCATCTAACGCAGTCTAAATGCAATAAAAACTGTTTCATGTGAACAAAAAAAGAAGGTTCTCACTCAAAGACTTTCAAAACAGAATCTTTTTCTTGATGGTGGCAAAAACATTTCAAAGATTTCTTAATCATAACAGGGTCAAATCTGTTCTAAGTTCAAACTTATAATGGATGTTAAAACACTGATATCAGAAATGTTGTCATGATACATAACGAACGATACTTCTCTTTCATATATGTTTTCTATATAAGCATTGTAATCTGAATTTCTCCACTTAGGTAACAAAATTTGAACCTTGCACTTGTTAAAACATTTGGTTATATTAAAAATTAGTAGTTAAGTTATTTTTGCAAATCACAGTACAGTTATTATTTTCTATTAAAAAGATTTAATTAAGGTTTCCAAAAAAAAAAAAGAATTATGGACACTGTGAACTGTATTTTTAAGCTAATACATTTACATATTTAACACCAAGTATTAAACAGCCCTGAGATATTACTTCTCATACTTCAAACTCTAGCCGTCTTTGACACTAACTCCTCAATAGATTCTAATGCCAAGTTTATCTTGTATTTTACATTATCTTGCATCAAGCATTTATGGAATAAAAAAAACATACCTGTGGTTCCTTTGTAGTCCACTGAGCTAAAACAATCTGAAGATTTTTGCGTCGATGTTGGAAAACTGTGATCATTGACTGGTGGCCCTTGAAGATAGAAGACATGGCTTCTGCCTCTGACATTTCTGGCTGAGGTTGACTTCCAATTCGAAGACTATTCTGTAAATGTCTCTGTTTATACAGAGGAAGCATTAAGATAAAGATTTTTAAAAGATGAAAATTTGAATTTAAAACAGAAATATGATTTCTAGCAGGGAAAAAAAGGTAGTAACTACTTAACACTGTTGAAATTGAACTCTGTATAAAACCATAAGGCCTTGTTATAGCTACTTAGAACTGTCAAAAAAATTGGCATAAGCTGTAAATCAGCTAAAAATTATGCCTCAAGTGCATTTAAAATATTTTTAATGTTGGTTAATATGAATAATTATTGTAAAAGAGTTCAGAGGAATAGTCAGGATTTTAGGATCCCATTATCTTTTTAAATATATTATTTTAAACTATTTAGGCTCCAAGTTACTTGTAGGTCCATGATTGTTATTCACAGAGTTCCTAATAGCATACCAATTATACAAATAAAAAACACCATCAATACTGCAATTAAACCCACTAATTACTTTTATGGTTTTCAGTATATTTCACATATAAAATGAGTAATTTCACTAAATTATTTTTGTCATTTCCTTGATGCATTATGTGGATCCCAATGGTTGTGAATAGTATAAAAATAAATCACTAATTTGAAGATTAAAGGCCAAAACTGAATCATTTTACAAAAAATAATGAAATTACATAGTCTACTTGATTTCTGTCAATTTTCTTCTAAGCTAATATTTAAAAAATGTAACATGTTTAATACATTAACTTCACTGTTTGTAAAAAATTAACATTTTTCTGAAAATGTATATATATTTAACTCGTATAAATGAGTGGTCTAGAAAGATAAATTAAATGATGAGAGGATAGAGTACATTTCTTTAATATATCAAACATAAATCTAAAAAAATAGTTCACTTTGAAAATCTAATGATTAGATTAGAAAAAACAACTTAAGTTGGTTTGCAATCTGTTTTTCTTTTAACCACAAATTTTCAGTTAATATCAGTAACTAAGATTCATGTATTTATACCATTGTACACATTACTATAGTAATTCCCAAACATGCAAGAAATTATGCAATTTTGTAATAACAGTTACGAAGAGCTTAAAAAAGTTTTTCAAAGTTGCTTCTGCTACAGAAGTGAGAAAATACAGAGAATAATTAGTTTTTAACTTTCCAACCAGTTCTAGAAAACAATTAATTGTTCTCTATTGTAAGCTTATTGAACAATTTAAATGTAATCAGTGATAACACTGTCAGCATTTGCAACTATTTTATGAATTTGGCAGTTATTCAAGAAAAATCTGCAATAAACATATTTATAAAAAATACAATCTAACTTAAAACTTCAAATGTGGTATTTTATTTATTCACTGCTATTATCACTGGTCTTATAATCAATGAAATTGATCACTGTACATGTTACAAATGTGTGTTAATTGTTTTTTAATTCCTTTAACTCTTTGGATACAGGTAGGTAAGTGTGCATATCACAATCTTTTAACAGATATATTCAAAATATAATTAAACCACTTTATTATTAATTTATGTGAATAAATCTGGCATCTAAATGTAGTTAATAAATCAGATTTTAATATTATATAGGTTTTACTTTCCTTATTAGGCATGCATGGCTGAAAGGTGAATATAATAAAAATAATAAATATACATAAATGTATAATCCTATGAGATTTAAGCTATTTAGTCTAAACATTTATATTTTTGTGTTATAATTTGTAGTCATTCTAGAATGAAAAAGGCATAACTTGTATTTCTTTCCTAATTTTTTTGATGTGGTTATGAGATCGGTCAAATCGACCAAACCCATATAGAGATTTGTTAATGAAAATAACACATAAAATATAAACTTTTTTCTTAAGAAATGTTTGATAACTATGTGGACATTATAAAGATTTCACATATGAAATTTGAAAATTTTCTGATGTACAAAAGTATTTTTAATCTTAAAATGAAAAGTACTTTGCATGTTGGATAGGCAACATGCGAAACGAAAAAAAAGGCATGAGAAAAACATTGCTTTACAAACCTTAAGAATTAATAAGAAAAATTATATATCTTACATATGAAAGCATTGTAATGTTTACTGATAATCTACAAAACTTTGTTAACATAAGCTTACAGATTTAAAAGTTATAGCACGAAAACTATAACAAGCACAAAATGGTTACAAGGTCGGTCTCATGGAACTGAGCCCGTGCTGAAAGTTTGGTTTGTTATGAATTTTGTGCAAAGCTACACGAGGGTTATCTGCGCTAACCATCCCAAATTTAGCAGTGTAAGACTAGAGGGAAGGCAGCTAGTCATCACTATCCACTGCCAACTCTTGGGCTGCTCTTTTACCAATGCATAGTGGAATTGACCATCACATAATAACACGCCCACAGCTGATAGGGTGAGCATGTTTGGTGGGACGGGATTCAAACCAGTGACCTGCAGGTTGTGGGTCGAGCACACTAACCACCTGGCCATGCCGGGCTGTCGTGCTGAAAGAGTTAATGTAACTGACCAATAACAGACTACATTTTATAAAAAGAATATTGCATGGTCAGGATGTATTAAATGTTTGTTTTTCCATAAACAGTCAAAAATATGATGAGTATAGTTAATGTAAACACCAAAAACAGATATTCACACCTTGTGTTAGACTACATATACCTATTTTATGTTATTAGCAACTTGATTAGGAGTCTACTGAATTTCAATTTGCTTGTACGGAGTTAAACAAAGGTGCAAATAAAACATGTTTGAAAAACAACGTAGTTTTTATTATTTAGTTTCAAACTCAATAGGAGATGTAATTTTACAATAACTATGAATAAAATGTACTTCAGAGAAAACTTATGATTAATTTGGTTAATGAAATTCATAACATTACATTATTTGTCTTCTATAAAAAAAAAGATCAATGACAAAAATTGAAATGAACACAGACTTGTTATACTTTTTGAATGTAGATTTGTTATACTTTTCATAAAGAAAAATTCATTAATTATTTTGATGTATGCTTTCTTTAACTCTTAGTTATTTAAATAATTAAAAGAAGTAAGATGTTATTTAAAACTCAATTATTATCACATATTATACTCTGTATATCTGACAGTAGACAACTGGGAGAGAATAAAACAGAAAGAAAAAAAAAAGAAGCAGTTTTACGTAGTTTCAACTACACAACTCACAGGTAGGAAATCTTCTAACTCTAGTCCTACTGGATGGTCCCGTTGATCTGGTACAAATTCTACATAATTTCCTGGACCTCTGTGTGGTTGATTGTCTGGGAATAGAGTGTTAAAATCTGAAAAGCCAGGAGTTGTTCCATACGTCTGCTCAGGAAAGGCTACCGACTTTCGTAGTTGGACATCTTTCTCAGGTACTATAGGCACAGGTCTGACTATGGACACAGAGGAGGGTTCTGAATTCCACATGGTTTTGCTAACTATGTTCATGGGTTTTTTCAATGGTTGAACATGATTTGTTAATGGTGTATCTACAGAATGCTGCAGAGGGCTACACTTTAGAGAGTTAAAGTCCATAATTTTGGTGTACGATGTATTGAGACCAGGAGAAGACAAAGTGTTATTAACCAAAGTGGAAGAAGATGATATTTTTTCACACCTTTCTACAATAGGATTGAAAGAATTCTCTGGCAGTGCTGTGAAAAGAGTAGGTGTAGCCTTCTCTGAAGGTTTGATTATTCCAAATTGTGAGCTACTGTTACTAAGAAGATCTACAATAAACAGAAAGTATCAAGAAGTATTTGAATCAACAAAAACACAAAACAAAGTTATAAAATATTCCAAAATTTGTGAAAATATAATCATTTAACATTTTAAGAAAAAAATATTGATACAAATTAATATTTTCTTCAGATAGACATGGAATGCTTAATACAGTCTTTAGAAATAACTAAAAAATATTTTATCATTATTTTAAACATAGTTTCTGTAAGAATATTGCAGCAAAAATAAAAAAAGTTAGGTATAATGCAGTGGAAGTGTTACAAGAGTAATGAATATAAAATATTTCTTAAAACATAATGGAACAAAAACAGTAAAAAATATAAAAAAAAACAATGAATGTAAAATTCATCAGTGTTATAATACCTAATCTGAAGTGTTAGAACTCTCATTATGAAAAATAATTCTTTAATTGTAAGGAGGAGGTCACATTTTTCTCAAAGAAAAAGATGAAGTGCATATAGCTTGAAACTAATTATGTATATTCATATTCTTCCCCAATAAAAATATCTGTTTTTGTGTACTTTTTTGATTATTTTTAAAACAACTGCTTAGTCTGCAACTATCCTACTAAAAAAAAGCAACAGATTTAACGTTATTTATCATAGATAAAATAGCTTTGAAGGGAAGTGGATTTGATAATGACACAATTATTACATTATTTTGAGTCACAACTTTGGAAAGCCTAGAACAGTTCTTAATGTTATGCAAAGTTAATGTTTTCCTAATCTGAAAATGTTATTTCTGATAGATACTCATCTCTTCACACAGAAAAGCTATCTTTCTCGCACACGTCTGCGTATGTATGCCACTAGCCTTGAGGAAACTCCCACCTAATTTCACATGTTTAACATAAACCGTGCTGGTGCATGATGAGATCATCATGTAATAAAAGCCCCCCCTAATAAGAGGGCAACACAACCTCCATGTACAAAAACTCTCCCTATGCATTGCACTTATGATAACTTCATTCTTTGACAAGGCACGAGATAAAAAATTTGTGTCAGAAGTGGGGAGGATGGGCTGGAGTGTGTGCAAAAGTATCTATCGAAAATACCTTTTCAGATTAGAAAAACATTAACTTCTGAGATGATATCTCACTTCTTTGCACAGAAAAGCTAGAATCCTGCACTGAAGTCCATGGAGTGTGACACCTGATGACAGGGACTCCATATGGGCACACCCATGGGACACCATATCTTGTCTCAACCAGGGTATACTCTTCACTAGGAATGTAGTGGCAAGAGAGACATAAGCCCCATGTGTCACAGGGACAGACAGAATCAGAACACGACCATCTAAGTATATCACAAGAATACATCAGTGGTCTTGTGGAAGATAGCTTTTCTGTCTGTGAAGGTGAGTTATCATCTCAGAATTTAAATTTTGCAAGCTAAAATTCCTTAAAAATCCAATATCTTTCACATTTATACCATACTTAGTTACAAGTCTTCAAAAGTAATTTCTGAAATTAATAGTAATTCCTCTTCAAAATAAAACCTACCATTTATATCAAAGCAATGTATAACAGAAATACGTATATAAGTAAATATCTTTAAATCTATATATTCAAAAGGCATCAAAAATCATCAGTTGTAAATACTCAGCCCAAAAAGAAAAAAAAGAAAAGAGAGGATCCTCAATACCTTCTGGTGGAGCTGGAAAAGGTTTTGTTTTGGGAGGAGTTCGACATACTGCCAAATAAATAAACATTAAAACATTCAATTCAGTATTTTTTCTCTGTATGTATGTACATATAATTATAAATTTTGCATTGAAAAGGTGCATCTTAAATTTTTTTATAAGCATATATTTCTCTACTCCAATAACAACAAAATCTCACTGAAAGACAAATACCAAAGAAGTCACACAATTTTATAACAAGATATATACATATATATCTGAGAATTTTTTTGTAAGTTGTCTGTGCACAACTGTATTTAAAAAAGTACAGCATTTCAAAATGATCACTGGAATTGAATTTTTGAAAAACTTTAAAAACATAAACCTACATATAATTCAAAAAGTAATTATAAATTAAACCTATCTAAAGAAGAATGTTGTACACCTATCACTTATGATGTTTAAAAGAAAACCACTAGCATCATTTTCTTAATTTTCTGGAAAATATTCAAGAAATTTTAACATATATATAAAAGGTTAAAGCTGGAAACCTATAAAACTAAGCATATTTAATACATGTATTAAAATTTATGGAGTAATGATAATAAACCCGGAAGACTGTTGGTTCTATTCTCGACAAAGAAAAAAGTAAGTTCTCCATAGTTTCTGGTAAGAGTAATAAAACATTTTATTTATACCAATTTTTGCTTAATGAGAATTTGTTCCTTGATATTTCAAAGTACAAAAGGAAAAATGGTAGTATAAATTATTAGAAAACACTAAAAACCTGAATTATCAACATGGTATTATGTATTTCACGTCAAAGTTATCAACCATTTATTTTACCCCACACTGATGATTTAGTGACAGTTTATGGTAGAAGAGTGTAAATACTAGATACAATATACAGGAATACTGAAACACTTTATATATACACACACACACACACACATAATTTGATACAAAATTTTGGGTGTAGAATTTTTTACAGTTAAAAAAAAAAGTTAATAATGAAAAGGCTGGACCTCAAGATCTTGGTTAAAACAAAAACTATGTTATCTATTCATGAATTTTGATATTAAACAAAAAAATTGACAATTTAAAACTATTTGTTCTAATGGATAAAACTAGTTGATAGAAGTTAGTCATGATATTGTTGTTTAACTGAAAGTGCACGGGGTCAATTCACTATAATTCCGAATTTGTTAGGTCATCAAGAAATTAATGTCGCATTTTAGAACTCTTTCATTAACCACCCCTCAGAAAACGTACATCCTGTATAATAGTTAAATGAACCACCTAAACGTCACGTTAATGTAGCCTACATAATGTTTAAGGTTTAGTATACTCTAATCCCTTACAGTGATGGCACAAGATGAGACACACATTCAACATGTAATGCTGTTTGAATACAAGAAGGAAAACAATGCCTTTGTAGCCACAAGGGATATCAAAGAAGTTTATGGAAATGTTTTAAACATTCCTAAGTGTTAACAATACTTCAGCAAATTTCATTCAGGTGACTTTAGCTTTAAAAACTGTGATGGAAGGAGCCGACATGTTGGAATTGATATTGATGCTCTGTTACCACAAAGAATATCAAAGAAGTATATGGAAGTGTTTTGAATGTTCGTAGTTCAGCAAATTTCATTCAGGTGACTTTAACTTTAAAAACTGAGATGGCAGGGGCCAACATG